ACTAACTTTTAACTCTTTGAGAACATGTAGAGGCAAAACACTTAGGACCTCAATCATTTAGTATGTGTTTAGAGCAGCAAAATTTGCAAAAATTTTGGCCATGACTTGAGCTACCACTTGAACTATGAGCGGTACTACTTTTCTTACTGTTTTGGAAGCTATACTTCCTAGTTTTGATTGCACTAATCTGTGATTCATTCTGCAAAATCTTAGTCTGTGTTTTGCTAACCTCAGTGGCTCTGCAAAAATCAATTGCTTTGGTTAAAATTAGCTTGGACTCTCTCAGGAGCCTTTCTTGGGTATTTTTATCAAAAATACCCATGACCACACAGTCTCTAATTATTTCATCATCCTGTAGTTTTCACTGCTTTTCTCAATTCTGTTAAGAAACTATCAAAAGTTTGACCATCTTTTTGGCCAATACTGTTGAATTTGAACCATTAAAAAATCACATTTTCTTGAGGCGAGCAGTATTCCTGATTTTTTTTTTAATATTCTCTAGCGATTTTAGTTCCTGTTCAGTAAATGTAAGACTATTAAACAACTCGAGCCCATCATCTCCTACAAGATTTAGGAAAACGGCCACTTTAGTTTCCTCCGGTTTTTTATCCAGTCCAGACGCCGTCAAAAAAACATCAAATTTTTGAACACATTTTTTCCAATTATCAGCTATATTGCCATCAGTAACAAGGGGCTCCATGTTTCTAGGCTAGGTAACTTTTTTACAAACAACATAACAACAGTTCACTAGCGAACTTTTCACTGACTTGTAACAACAAACTAGCACCAAAAGCACTTAATAACCTGACACCATGTTTTATATCGTCAGGGAATATAAATAACATAACTATTATTGTGTTTAACTCGTGCTGTTTTATTAAGACCTATGCAACATGCAAGGGGCAGTTAGAAAACAGAACTTGTTAACTGATAACTACCGCTACTGGTGTTGCCGACAGTACCTGTATTACTACCATCACAATCAGACCCGTTCTTCTCACAGCCGGAACAGTATTTTTCTCATGCATGTCGTTTCTTTGACAATGCTTGCAGTCTTCTTTGCATGGCCGTCTAGACAGAGTGTCAGCATTTTTATGCTGGTTTCCAGGTCGATGTTTAATTTGGAAATCGTATTGCTGCAATTTCTCAATCCATCTAGCAAGCTGTTCTTCGGGAGTTTTCATTTCTAAAAGCCATTTTAGAGCTGCGTGATACATTCGAATCACAAACTTACGTCCTTAGAGATACTTATGGAAATGGTCGACTGCTTTTACTGCTTCTTCTGGTGACACAATAATTTCATTCTAGCTTTGATAAGGTTCTGCTCTAGTACTCTATAACATACTCTTGTGAATTTTGAATTTGTGCAAGTACCGCTCCAATACTGGCGTTGCTTGCATCTGTGTCCAAAATCAACATGTCCTTCCGATCAGGATAGGACAACACTGGGCTTGTACATAATGCTTCTTTTAATTTTCTAAATGCGGAATCGCATTCTTGGGTTCAATTGAATATTGATTTATCTTCCGTTAATCGATGAAGCGGAGCAGCTGTATTGTCGAATCCTTCCACAAATCTTTGATAATAAGAATATAATCCTAGAAAACCATGTGACCTAAGAATTCCACTTTCTTTTGAAATATATAACACTTATTTGGATTGAGTTTTAAGTTCCGAAAGTGGTCAAAAACTTCTTCCAGGTCATTGAGATGTTCTTGGAACAAATTTCTCATGATCAAATATACCAGGCAAGTTCTCCATGTAAGGCCTCGCAAAAAAAGATGCATCAGTCGCTCAAACGTAGCTGGAGCATTACACAATCCGAAAGGCATTACCTTCAACTGGTATAACCCCCTTCCGGTACTTAAGGCAGTTTTCTCTTTGTCATCTTTGTTTATCGCGACTTGCCAGTATCCACTCTTAAGATCCAAGGTGGAAAACCATTTGGAGCCCGATAGAGTTGTCAATGTATCGTCTATCCTCGGGAGAGGGAAGTTGTTCTTCTTGGTGACGTTATTAAGCTTACGGTAGGTAGTCCACACAAAAGACTTCCATCTTTCTTGGTAACCAATACTGTGCAGACCATGGACTAATTGACTTTTCAATAATTCCCTCTTGAAGCATTTTATCAATTTGGTTTTCCACTTCCTGCTGTTTAGCTACTGGCATACGTCGAGGTGGTTGTCTAATTGGGTGTCCAATCCAGTATCAGTTTTGTGTTGAATTAAACTGGTCCGTCCGGTTTGATTACCTATCCACCACAAATATGTCTGCTTCTTTCAAGATGAAATCTGTAGCTTCCTGAAGTCTAACTGGATCCAGGTGTTTCCATGATTTCTCCTAAGTCTGCATCAAGGTATCTGTATCCAATTTCGGTTTAACAAAATGTCGCTTATCTGTGTGATTGATGCTTAACTGGTTCGAGAGTTCCAATAATATCTCCTTCCTTTTTTTTACTGTTTCAGGAGAAATATTGCCAATTCTTATCATAATGTCTCCATTTGTTCTTACTAGAGTCTTTCCTACGAGAATTTTTTATGGTTTATCTCCAATAAAATTATGTGTTAAGCGGCGTTTCCACAAGCATAGTTTATTGGCGCCAGTCCACGTGCCAGTTTGCTGGCGTAATAATAGTGGCGCCAGTATCTGTTTCCACTTGATATCAAAAATATTTTGTTTCTAGAATTATTGCAGAAGACCAGAAAAAACAAGAAAAAGAAACATAAGCATAAGATCTGGGTACGAAAATGGATTTCACGCAGAAAAGCTCTAGGAGCATCAAATAATTTACTGAGTTAACGGATGGAGACTGCATGAGGAATTTCCAAAGCTTCTTATTTTGCTTTCGGCGGCAGTGCTATCAAAACCACTTAAAAACACGAGAACTCGCACAATACGTCAACACTTATCCTTATAGCATCATCCCGTTTATTTATAGCCTTGTAGCACAAAAGTTTGTGATTCCACAAACAGGGATGCTCTTCCATAAACTTTATATGTGCAATTTTTTAGATTTACTTGACGATTTCATTACTTTTCTGAAAACGAATAGTGAAAACCTTTGTATTTTTTTTGACAAACTGTCACACATTGCAAACTGGCGCCAAAAAGTAGACCTCGATTCTACTTTACTGGCGCATGAATAAGTGACGCAAGTTAACTGGCGCCAGCTAATTTTCCGAGTTTCCACGCGCCAGAAAAGTTACGCCAGTCGCCTGGCGCCAATAAACTCTGCATGTGGAAACGCCGCTTTAGTCCAACGTAGCACCCAGGGTTTGTTTTCAATTTTCCACAAATGATCTTCTCAGTACTTCCAGGAATCTTCACCGGTTTTGTGGCCACGATCTCAACGGCTTGAGATTTTTTTGATACATCTTCTTTAACTTCGGCTTTCACTTCCTTAATATTTTGTTCCAGGTTAGTGACAGATCCTTGTATGGTTTGAAATATTTTCTGCAGTTGTCCATAGTCGTATTGCCATTTTTTGTCGCCTATAGCCTCTTCTTGTTGTTTTTCTCTTTGTCGCCTGGCCTCTTTGTCTTGTTTTTCTTGTTGTCGTTTAGCTCTTCTTCTTGTTTTATTTTTGTCGTTCAGCCTATTCTTGTTATTTTTCTCTTTGTCGCCTGACCTCTTCGTCTTGTTTTTCTTGTTGTCGTTTGGTCTCTTGAAGTTTTGCGCAAAAGTTCTTCCATTTTTGCTTGTTGCTTATTCCAAAAATCAAAGTTCAATTAACACAACAATAATTTATTACTACACTATTATACACTCTGACACTAATTACTTCACTAATGAACTCAAACAACTCAACTCTTTACAAGTCTTACAAAATTCTGTGTCCAGATCGTATCACATTCAATCTTGAAACTTAAAAACTACTAACCACTACCGGCATTTATATATCCGTAATCTATTCTTGTAAAATCCAGAATAAACGCGATAGGTACCTCATTTTTATATGAGGTGTTCGTTATTAGCACTATTCTAGGACGAGTGTGAATATTATAAGAAATGTCGTATCTGCAGTCGAGTCTGAAGTGTTTCACGGCTGAAAATAGATGCAGTGCTGAAAAACTTCTAGAAATGATTGAAAAGCAATACAACTGTAGATGGTTGCTGGAAAAAAAAATGAAGCTTGCAAAAACGTTATTTTCGATTTTTTTCAAATTGGAAATTCACTCTAAATTGATGCTTGTACTATTAGGTGTTTGTTTATAACTGGAACACTCAGTAACTTTCTTATTTTCGAAAGGCAAGGGCATGGTCTAATTGGAAAATTTCTTGGTAAATTGCAACTTTAAACGCTACAACGATATTTTTTGGACTTCATAGGTATACAGGGTGCGCCAAAAAGGTATTTTTTTTAAAATGGATCGCCCTGTATATTTTTGTTATATAAATAGTATTTGATATTTTTGTGAAGCTAAATTTCTAAGAATTTCAAAAATGCAAAAATATACAGAGCGTTCCATTTGAAAAAATGACTTTTTTGGCGCACCCTGTATACCTATGGAGACAAAAAAAATCGTTGTAGCGATTAGGATCGTTGCAATTTACCAGGAAATTTTCCAATTTAAACATGCCATTTATTTTCGATAATAAAAAAGTTACTGAGTGTTCCAGTTATAAACAAACACCCTGTACATATGTATTTTCATTGGTATTTTTCCCAAAAAAAAAAACACATACGTCAATTGATTTTCTACTAATTATGTAATTAATCTTTTTTCCAAATACCACTTTGATCGTGTCGATGAAAACAGGTACAAACAAAAAAAACACCTACCTATTTAAATATTTAAAAATATATTCTAGGTTTAGTGGGAATTAAAAATGCAACATTTTATGAGGTGAATAATCATGACAGTCGGTTTTAATTATAATCAAATTACGGGAATTTACGTGCCATTTAGTTTAGCCAATTAGAAAAACAAACAATGCAACAATTATTAGTACTATAATAAATTAAAGGAAGTCCCTATTATTTTATTTTTTATTTTTAGATGAAAACAAATTTCGTATTGTCCTCCTGAACTCAAAAATGAGTTTGGAAAAGGCGAAACAATCCATGGAAGGGTACTATCGTGTCAGAACCAGATACTCTAACGAATTCTTTGATAAACTCACCCCAAAGGATCCAGAATATATTGATGCTAAGAAATTGGTGTAAGTGAACTAAATGGAAGATGAAATGCTGTCCTTTATTATCATTGCTTTAATGTAGATGCTAGGTATTACTTAACCCCTCCTCTTTAAAGCTTTTGTCATCCGACAATAAGATGACCCGCCATTCTAGTTTTAAAATGTTTGTTGTTGTTGAATATGCTGCCTTCAGTTTGGGAGTTTGAGTGGACATTCGACAGGTATCATCATTATCAGGGGCGATCAGCCGATACCGAGTATGAATATATTCTTCATGTCATCGATTGTGCGTTTTCTGATAGCTATATCTTCGTGCGGTCCCTCTTTTCGGTCAAAAGTTTGTGGTCCTTCGTGGACTAGTCGACGCCATGAGGGCCTATCATTCGCCTTCGTCTCCCAGTTGCTGGTATCAATGTGGACTTTGCCATATTTTCTGTCGTGGAAGACGTGTTTCGGGCATGCGGACGAGGTGACCTGTCCAGCTTTGGTGCCTAATGGCCTCCTCTAAACATTAGTGTTCGTTCGCCGGTCTTGCAATTTAATTCGTAGGATCCTTCAGGCATCACTGGTGGTATTTTTCTAAGCTTTTTATGTGTCTTCGGTAGGTAGTCCATGTTTCGCAGTATGTGAGTGTTGCTATTACAACTGCATTGTAGACGCGAATTTTAGTCTCAGCGCTGATGTCGTGATTTTTGAAGACTCTCGCCTCTCTAGAAGTCGCCCGAATGCCGCGCTAGCACATTTCAAGCGATCTTGGATTTCAGCGTCAATGGTTGCATTCGCTGACAGGTAGTGTTCTACGTTGTGCAAGAATGGTAATTAATAGGTTTATTTGGAGCTTGACGATGAGTGCCCTGTGCGGGTCGGTGCAGAATCTGCGTGTTGACCTCTAGGCCGAGCTCCTGTATGCCTGTTTGGATGCACTGATAATTGCTTGAAGATTTTTCTGTTTTGGTCATCACGACGTTATCATCCGCACATTTAAGTTCAATTATCGTTGTTGTCGATGTTTTCGTCTTGGCTTCTGATTTGTTGAATACCCCGCCATCAAGTCTGTACAAGTTTTTCATTTCTGACAGCAGGTGACCCTCGACAAGGTGAGGTATGGATCCTATAAGTAGAGAAAATAGAGTGGGTGCAATAGCACAGCTAAGTTTAACGCCTGTAGTTATTTGAAAAGAATCTCCTTCCTAAGGATGGTTGCATTCATATGATCATGTAGTAGGCGGAGTATCTGGATATACTTTTGCGGACACCCAATCTTCCAAAAACCTTTCCTGTCGACCGAATCAAATGCTTTCACAAGTGCAGGTACTACTTCAGCAACATTATTGAATATTTCTAAAAACTTTCCAGGATTTAATATCCACTTTGTTTGGTTACCTAACTAATGATTGGGCCAGCCAAACGCTTGTTCCATGCAATTGCCAAAAAGACACTACCACAGGCGAGGAGAAAAAATCTCAGCAGTGATTAGACAATTTACTCAATGGTTTCTGGAGTGTGCAAAACTCAATTTGAAGAATGGTTACTTCAAATCCTCGCTTCATGGGTCTTGAGACTTCACAAGGAAGAGCGGCATCGGCTCATTCATTCTCTTGTCATTCATCTGGGAGGCTTCTCAATTACTTTGCAATGGGCATTTCGATTGGTAATCCACGGATTACCGTGTATAGTTTCTTGTAGGTAAAGTAGGGCTTTTTACGGAACCCAGGGTGTTAATCAGATCCCCCCTGTCTTCTCAGTTCACCTCAGTTACATTGGCGTGGTCGAATTCGATCTTGTTTAGTCTCAACTTTCTCGATGGTTCAGCTGCTGGCACCTGCATAGCTGCCACATTTGACGTCTTAGGGGATGATCGCTCTATACCTTCGGCTTCGTATTGAATTTTCGCTTCCACAGCATCCCATTCCATCGCTCTTTCTTCTTCGTCAGGCTCCCTGAGTCCTGATGTAGTTCTTTGTGGCTTTTTGGGCTAAAGCTAGACCTTCTTATCGATCTCAATTTGGCTCTCCAAATTCAATCCCACATCCATCATTTTCTCTTGCATTGACAACACATAGAACGTGACAGATTAAATTTCACAACCATTCTTGCTCTAGCATCTGATATGAATAACCTAATCTTGACCCCAAGATGCATTTAATCTTTAAAATAATAAATTAATGTTTTACAATTTATTCGAATATTTTCTCAGCCGGACAGTCGTTTTGCCAAAACTAACACCGGACCTTAACCGAGTAACAATTTTCAAAATGAATGATCCAAATGGTGAAGCCACCGATGCCTACTCGTACCAAATTCCAGTTCTGATGATGGCGGAAATAAGAATAGCTCACGATTTATGCTTGTCGAACATTCTTATTATAGATTTTAAAGATTATGGATGGAAGAATTTAGTTAAATATACTCCTACTGTAAACCAAAAACTAATTGATATATTGGTAAGAAGTTACCTATACTCCAATCTGTACGATTTTTACACACTTTTTTTTCAGAATTCCATTAACCTAAGAATACACTCTATACACTTCATAAATCTAACAAACTTTGTTGACCATCTAATGAGATTACTAAAAAATTTATTACCAGCAAAGTTACTGAGCAAGGTAACAAGATATGTTATTAAATGGAGCAATTTTCAAATTTTTATATTTTTAGATTCATATTCACAAATCCCACGATACCTTAACAGAATTTATACCCAAAGAGTTCCTTCCTTCTGATTATAAAGGTACTGCAAAATCTTTGGACGAATTTTACGGTAAGTCACAATACGAATATACTCTTTGATTAAAGTTACAAAATGACTTTGACATGTATCTGTTTTTATAGAGGAATGGTGTGAAGAAATTGAAAAACAAGAAGAGATTTTTATAAAATTATTAAGCATCAAATCCACTGAAAAAATAGAATTGGATCCAATGCAGAGTGAAATGTTTGGATGTGGCGTTGAAGGTTCCTTCAAGAAACTAGCTTTGGATTAGGTTTATGTTGAATTATTGGACTTTAAATGTATTTTTTAAAAGAAACTCATTGGTAAACGATTACATTTGAAATAAAATTAAGTGCAGTTATAAAAAATTGTGATATTATTTTAGTTTCGAGTCAAATTTCCCACAGCAGCATAAGTTTGCACACTTTTCTATAAGCACTGTCAATTATTATGTAACTCTAAGAAAAAGCTTTAATCATGAAGGTCATTGTTAGTCAAATTTTTAGCAGTAATCCTTTTTCTTTATTTGGCATACTCAATGAAATATAAATATATATTTTTTTAAATTTGTTGATGATGCTATTGCCGTAATAATTGTTCAATAATTGGGTCGTTGGAAAATATCGCCAGAAAAACACTGTGACTGTGAATGCGTCTGTCAAAAAAGCAGTGGACAAAACCACATCCACCTGGATGTTTAGAACTGCAGAAACTGACGTGGGTGAACAAACCATACAAGTCACCACAACTAGAGGATGTCGGCAAGGAGGGGAACTTTCACCTTGTAATGTGTAAAGTTACTTGTTCCTTTTTCTTTCAAATTTAATTTTATATAACCCTTTTAATGTTGACAGTCTGGTGACTAGCATTGAAATACAGGGTTTTCGCTACTCATAATGTTAGCATTTATTAAATTATTCCACTAGAGGGCACGATTTTCATTTAAATTTGACGTACCGGCAACCTTTTTTGTTGACTATTCGGAGAGTGTTACGTTCATAAATTTCTTTGTGACAATTTCAGGCATATTTTGTTATTATTAACCTCTTCATATGATTCCCACTTAACAAAAGTGTATCCTTAGAATGTAATGGGAATGTTCTTTTTTTAGGAGGAATGTGCCTAGAATGTTCGCCAAAACCATTGCGAATGTCCTGAGAATGTTCTGAGAAAAGATTGTAGAAATACTGTTTACAATACCCAAGAACTTCCTGGAAAATCCATTAGGATATTCCTACAATATACCTATGAGATTCTCAGTACATCCTGAAAAGAATATTCCTGTTTGATTCTAAAAATATGCTTGAAATGTATATCCTCACATTCAAAGACTGTTTCTATGACATTATAGTTATGTTCTCAAAATAATATTATACCAATATGCTTGAAATATTCTTAGAATATATCTACATGTATCATTCTCAATATGCATCCTAGACATAACATTCTTGTTTGATTCTAGGGATATACTTGGAATGTTAATTTTCGCTTTCAAATAATTCTCCTTTCAATTGGCCGAAAAAACATTTTTTAGGGTACATTATAATAATGTTCGTATGACAATATTCAAATAATGTTATATAAAGTAGGTTTTTAGCACAATCTTTCAGGTAGGTGCATAGAAGCCATATTCCTATTACATAAATAAAAAGTTCAAAAATGAATATTTCAATTGAAACAATCTTAGAATATTCATTAAACATTCCTAAAAGGACATTCCAAAAAGCACTTTGAGGGAATATTCTGAGAATATGAATGTTCTTTCACTGTTATGTGGGTTATATTCTGGTACGGCACTGTCCTTCCGCAGCAACCGAGATTTAGGTCGATATGCGCCCAAGTTTCGGGTACCTTTCATGGTACTTTGCATTGTAGCAACAGCGGTTGTTGATAATTAAGTATTTTGTTGCAAAAACGCTTGGCATCGACTATTTTTCGGTAATTTTTGGGTTCACCAATAGATATCGCCGCCGGTACTATCTGTAGAATATTTCTCGGTACTATGTTGAAAATTTGATTGTGCTGGTAGATGGTTTCAATGCGTCATATTTCCATTATTTGGAAAATTCAGGGATTTTATGGATTCTGTGGCCGTGTTTTCATGTGGGATCGATTGATTCGAAGTATCTAATAAGAGAACAAGATGAAATTATTGGTTGTTTCTTGAAGGGACGTTTGTCTTGTGCTACTTACACTTATTTTTAAACTATGCGCGTTTTCCTACACCAAGTCCTTGATGTTGGGTGCGGTGGCCGTGTGGCAGGGGAATCTGGTTAAAAACGACAAGGTGAACAGGTGGTTTTGAATCGAGAGAGTACATTAGGGCTGAATTGCTCAAATTGGAGACCCCTGTATCCAATACAGCCCCTTTGGAGAATCCTCCAAGGGCCTCTCAGCGACCAAGGTATTCCTCCACATGGTTTTATTGGTGGTGATGTCCAGGTGGTTTGCCCTTCCAATTTATATTGGAATTTGGCCGTAGTCCGCGGTTCACGGTGCATTCCAGCTTATTTGTTTACCAAGTGCCAGACTGGTTAGAAAATCTTCCTCTGGAAGCGTCCCAAAGGTCTTCCTGACTTAACTCCTTAGACCGACAAGCTTGGAACATCTGCAGTTATCAGAACAAAAAATAAGTACCCCGCTGTGGGAATGTCCCTTTTCCTGGTACCAATTTCATATTAAATTAAACAAGCATAATTAGATTAACCTAAGTTGCATTTGCTCATTATATTTGAATAAAGTTTTGAAAACAAATGCTCGTGTGAAGTGGAGGAAACTCACACTTCAGTACAAAAGATCGTATAGACAATAATATATTAAAGTCAAATTATTCCGTTTAAAGTGCAATTGGAACCTAGTATAAGGCTGAACAAGCAAGAGCTCTGCCCAAAAAGCTATATGTTTTATATTTATCCATTAAAGACACTTTTAGGCCATTTTTTAGTTATCTCAGGGCTCTGTTTACTGGTGCTCAATAAATATTGTAATTTGATCTCTACAAAATCAATTTCTTTATTTAATTATTAGAATTTCAGCACTCACACAATTAAGAATCAACTCCCATCTCGACTGAGTTAGCGGTGGGCCGCAAGTGTACTTATCATATCTCACAATAGTAAACTCCAAATGCTCTGGTTTTCCATTTTATATTTGCAATAGTTTTTCTTGAATAAATAGACGGTAAGGGTACATCATAACCTCGGCGGCGCACTTAAAAATAAATCTTTTGTTGTGGTGGATTATTGCATTTTATCAGTTAGTTTCTTAGCTTCTATTTCTCTTATAATATTTCAGTAATTTATTATACCCTCTTTGTTTTTGTTTTCAAATAAATAAACCGCAACAAGAGGAAGCGCTGTCGGCTCATCTTGTCCATTTCAATTCTCTCTCTTTTTGAATTGTGTCGTCGAGCATCAATACATTTTCTTTTATAAAATCAGTTTTATAGTCAATGAACAAAATTAGGATATTTTTTTTATATATGATTTTCATACACCTTTAAAATCTCTTATTCTTGACACCCTGGAGATGGTAGAAAATAAGCTTTCGATTTATCGAATATATTATGGATTTGTCTTTGCATAACTTTTAATATTGCCATATATTTTATCATTTTTATCGATAATAATCGATAAGTAATCTGAACAAAAGTCAAGTTTGGACAATATGTTCTAAATTTGAAATTGTTGAGTAAGAGCCTACCGTCGAAAATTGATCAATTTTTAACCCGAGGTCCTTTAACTTATACAGGGTGTTCCGAAACTATTGTGCCAAAAATTAAATGATGATAGATCTCGCCAAAATAAACGTTTTTCACTTATAAACTCATGGGCGCATGCGCTTTGGTTAGGTGATATTAGCATATTACAGCCCGCACTGTGGTAGCCGCCTTGCACACGGAGAAACGTATTATTAAAAATAATAGAAAACCCAAAAAATGCTTGCAGTATTTATTAAAAACAATGATTCACATCAAAAGATGCTCAAAATTACGATCACCCGCCTCAATGCATACGCTACAGCGCCGTAGCAGAAATATCAAGTAGATTTCTGCAGAAAGCCCTTCCCGAACTGTTAGAAACTTTTCCCCTAATATGCCAGACAAAACATGTGGTACCAACACGACGGAGCTCCACCTCATTCTTCTTTAGCCATAAGCGAACATCTCAACAAAACATAATCTGGAAAGAGTAGTTGGTAAGGGCGCACCTATTGCATGGCCTTCAGGTTCACTAGACCTGACCAAATGCGACTTTTTTTATGGGGTCACATGAAAGCTCATGTGTACGACACTCCATTCGCGAAACGTCAAGAATTTTTCAACGTGTTCAGGAGCCTATGCTAGTCGTTATTTTGAGCATCTTTCCATGTGAATCATTGTTTTCAATGAACACTCAAGCATTCCTTGGGTTTTGTATTATTTAATAACACCGTTTCTGCTTTAACCCGTTTCTCCTGCTCTCTGTGCTAGTATCACCTAACCAAAGCGTTTACGCCTATGGGTTTATAAGTAAAAAACGTTTATTTTGGCGAGATCTATCATCACTCAATATTTGGCACAATAGTTTCGGAACACCCTGTATATTGGAGGATTTCGCTTATGTCTTCAGACCATTATTAACTGTTATATCACCCCACTTTCGATTTTTTACAGGTACAAATTGATTTTTTTCAATTTATTTTCTTGCAGAAGCTGACCATATTTATCACTCCAATTTTTCAATCATTCAATTTTTTTTTTCTATTTTGGTGTCATATCGAAGTCTTTTCGACACTAAAAGTAGTTTCGAAAAGAAGCTCTTTGTGACACTCCTTTTTTACTCATCGGAGGTTGGTAACACTGGCTGACTGATGGCCATCGAACTGTCATTCGCGATAAAAAATAATAGAAGATTTCTATATTTGGCATGTATGGTTGCCAACCTAAACATATGAAATCAGGAAATATGAGAATAAAATTTCCAAGAAAAGTTTGTTTTTTTCAATTAAACAATACCAAAATAGAAAAAATAGTATAAAATATTCGTTTCATAAGACATTTTATCGCACTCGCCCTTTAGAAAACTCGCCTCCGGCTCGTTTTCTAATATAGGGCTCGTGCGATAAAATGACGTCTTATGAAACTTGTATTTTAATGTACTATTTTTAATTAGTTTTCTCGAAACCTAAATCTTTTATTTTGCATTTCGTGATAATGATATGGCCAGCGACTGTCAATGAATTTATAAGGCAAGTATATTGAGGAGCATTGTCATTATACTATTATATATTTTTTTTTTTTGAGCTCGAAGAATCTGATTTAAAGTTAACCTATTTTATTTGATTTGATCTAAAGTGTTTTACCAACAATAATTGATTTTATATTTTGACTGTGAAAATATATACTATTTTAATTTGAAATTTACTCAATTGTTTTATTGGTTTACCTATATGTCAAGTTTTGAGTTATGTGCCTTATTTATTTCCTTTTCAGAATTACCAATTACCGTTTGCTGATTATTTTCTAGGTGTGTTTATGAATTTTCACCATTCCATATTTCAAGCAATTTTATTATTAATTAAAAAAAAAAAAAAACAGTGGTGCCCTTGCCATCTTGTACTTATTAAACTATCAACCCACCCCTAATAATTATTCGCTGAGTAAACCGAACATATTATGGACCTCTTGTTAATTCATTAACAAGCGGGGTTACAATCTTTGATGTGGAATCTACTGGTGGATGATCTCCTAAATACACTGACTGATCAGGGCCTAGCCTGCTCTGGATACGGCGATAATATTGTCATTATGGCCAGAGGCAAATATGAAGGAATACTCTGCGACCTTAGAAAAAGCACTTCGTACTAAGAAGGAATGGGGTCAGACA